TTAGGAGTGCAATTTAATAGTTCCCTCAAGGGTATCTGATAGATGCAGATGGCAGATTTGTCACGAACGAAAGATGCCAGTTTTTGTTTCCAATTTGTTTTCAACCCCCATTACCATTATTGTCCTTTGCTGGTAAATGTGTGTATTTTTTTTGAAACATCCTTTGCTTGTAAATGTTGATTCTCTCAACACATTTTTGGTGATTGTCTCAACACTTGAAGGACATGCCACAGTACATTAATACTGGTACATTACAGCCATTTAACACTGCTATCAGAGTAATTTACAACGAAAAAAAAAATTGAGGCACAATTTATGTTTAATGGGTGCGTGAATTACTGATTCCTAAATTCAAGTCCCAAAATACAATTTGATTTTTTTTAATAATAAAAAGGCGCAGCATCCATCAGAGAAGTGGCATTCATTACATTATTCAATGTAATCGCAGTTCAACTTCAAGCAATACAGCGTAATGATCTCATAAAGATAGATGACATTTATTTCGAAGTACCAAAACAACATGTGACTTTAGTAGATGAAATCAAATGATAATATCTTGACATGCCAGGTAAAAAGGGTAAAACATCCATTCCCAAAAGTTGCAAAAACAAACCCAAGTGTTTTCTATCCTCAGATGGTGATACGCCTTAAGCTAGTGGGTACAACTATTAGAAGACATTCCAACGCTCCTCCATAAGTTTCCCCACATCAAATCATAAGATAGAAAGTGACATCACTGAAATGTTCTCAATGAAGACAAGACTGTAAAGTAAAACTTGAACAACAAACCAATATCATAATTCAGTCAGGTTTACAGCCCCACAAACTATTAACATTTCACTTAAACACAGAGAGACCATATGATATCGCCACTGCAGACACCGGATACTCTTCTCAGCTGGCACGACTTTTGATAACATCAAGACCCATCTCAGTCGGATCGGTAGCCTGCAGCTCTACTTGAATACCATCCAGTTCTCTCTTGAATCTGTCCTTGGAGCTTGCATAAATCATTTTGCTTCTCACCCTTGATGTATCAGGACACCTTTGTAAAAGCAAAAACAATCAAAATATAATTGGAATTCGTTAGCCAAAAACTCACAGAGGGAGAAGCCCAAATAATCATTTCAGTGTTGCCAATTATTATGTACCAGGCAATGAAAAAGATCCTGCTCTTCTGGCAATTCTCTTCGGTCACAAAGTCGAAGTCATAGACAGCATATCGACATTCATCAGCAG